CGTCGCCAATCTATTTAGAATTCAAACAAAAAAGAAATATATCATTAAACAAATCAATAACCTACTTTTAAGACCAAGAGTTAAAGGTGTTTCAATAGCTAAAAATAAAATAAAATAATTTGCATTCTAAGAAAATTTTGATATTAATAATAATACTACCAACAGTGAATTTTTGATGGTATCATTGTTGCCTTTGATGATGTAACAGCAGTTGCTGATTGTTGAATTAATTGTCTACGTTTTGATTCATTAACAGTTATATCTGATGTTTGATGATAATGTCCAACACAAAGACTTCTATAAGCAACAAATGTCTAACATTCTTCTCCACCATCATATTTACATAATTGTCTCCAAACTCGTGTATTAAATCTTTGTCTTTCAATCAAACCGTCACGTTGAACATGTACACGAATTTGATCTTTATCAGGTAAATTTGACGATGTACTTGCTGTCGTCGTCATATTTTTTTATTATTAGACCTCTGTTTTTTAAAAATTATTATCTATTACAATAAAAGAATAAAGTTAGAAGTAAAACAAATAATAGAGCTCATTCTTAACCAAATATATATTGATTTATATATGTTTTTTGTATACAAAAAATATTTGATATAAAAACGGCAAAACAAAATAAATAAGTAAATTTCAATTATAATGGAGTTTCTTCATATAACGAAAATCGGATGAAACAAAATATGTACCTAATGAACGACATTGATCATAATTATGACTTCGTTCTGATACATATAATTTATCACAGAGAACAACAATTTCAAATTGATCAGGTAAGCCCCTTGTGTCACGTATGTTATTATTCGTTCACCACCTGTTGTGATTAAATCTTGTAAACGATCATTTGCCATTTTGATTTCATTGTTTTCCGTACATTTGATCATAAAACATATATATTCAAAAAGTGACTGACGTTTATCAATTGAACGTGAACGTTTTGGACCATCTTGAGAATGATAACCTGTATCATCACCTTCAATTTCATATGCACCTTTATCAACAATTCGATCATATTTAATATAATTAATTAACCAACGATATGAAACATAAAAACAATGATTAGCTATAGCTTCAATTAATTTCATTGATAATGGTGAATGTAATGTATGTTTATCATCATTCGTTATTAAATACGTTGTTTCAGAATTAATTGATGCTGTTTGTGTAACTCGAGATGAAAATTTTCGTAGAAATTCATCTACTCTATCCTTGAATATTGTAATCGCGAATAACTTACTAATTGATAACGTTCAAGACATGATACGGAAAAAACAATTGATTTATTTGCATCTCTCTAAATAATAATAATAATAAGATAAAGTAACACAAGATTTTATAATATTTCATACGAATATAAAACATAAACGAAATCGAATTGGCATTTCATCAGTATCTAAATCAGCTATTGCTATTGTTGATGGTGGATTTGTAGTAGTTGCAGATAATTCACTAGCTATTGATTGAATTTCATAGATACTTTCATTTTTAATAGAGTTTTTTGGACTTAAATGATCATTTAATATATTTGAAGAAAAATTGTCTGTAACATGATGAGTACATCTTTTGTGTTTCTAAATGATTATAATTTATAAAAAATAAATCTTCAATGGTTTATTTTAAGTATAGAATATAATTTCTACTTGCTATGACGTCAAGAGTAGACATTAATAAGGGTGTGGGTGTGGGTGTGGGTGTGGGTGTGAGTGTGAGTGTGAGTTTGGGTGTGGGTGTGGGTGGGTGTGGGTGTGGGTGTGTGAGGGTGAGTGTGGGGTGTTGGTGTGGATGTGTGAGGCTGGGTGTGGGTGTGGGTGTGGGTGTGGGTGTGGGGTGTGGGGTGTGAGTGTGAGTGTTAATGAAGACATAACCCACACCCCTATCCACACCCACACCCACACCCACACCCACACCCACACCCACACCCACACCCACACCCACACCCCAAAATGTTTTTGAAAATTCCGCTATAAATCTTTGTAATCATTCGAAAATATGGAATCGCACTAAACCAAAAATAGCAATGCACACAACTCAGATCATGTCGTGAGTAGTAAACATCTGTTACGAGCTGAATAGAGTATAAGGAACTGAAGGGACCAAAGAGACTAAAAGGTAGAGGTCTGCGAGACAAACTTTTTTTTGTCCCGTCCCGAAGTTTTTTCGAGTTGTCCCGACCCCGTTTGCCCCGTCCCGAAAAATTTTCGGGGCAATCCTTATTGTCCCGCGGGACGGGACAGATAGGATTTTTCAGGATTTGGAACTGTCCCGCAGCGTTTTAGTTTGTTTCAATATTGTCCCGACCCCGCTTGTCCCGATCCCGTTTGTCCCGTTCTGAAAAATTTTCGGCACAATCCCGATTCTCCCGCGGGCCGGGACAAACGGGATTTTTTGCGATTCGGGACTGTTCCGCAGTACTCTACTAGCAGGACTAAAATGACGGAAGGGGCCAAACCCAGTGGAAAATGTTTGCGATTTTCAATCCGGTTTTTCTGCAACAAAATCAATATTATAATCGATTGATATTTTTGATTATTTTCGGTCATGACCGAACTATTACTTGACATTTTTTCTTATTCAGTGTGAAATTTTCTGATTGAAATCGGATTACTTTGCAAGATAATCAAAATTAATAATCGATTGATAATACTGGATTTGCTACAGAATCATCCGATTTCAATCACTAAATTTTACACTGAATAAGTAACAATGTCAAGTAATAGTTCAGTCATGATCGAAAACAATCAAAATTATCAATCAGTTTTAATTTTAATTTTGTTGCAGAAAAATCTGATTCATAATCGCAAAACTTTTTCACTAGGAAAGGGACTGCAAGCACTAGAATAACGAAGGAGGCCAAAGACACTAAAAAGACTCAAACGTTCAAAAGGACTAAATGGACTAAGGCGACTAAAGGGACCAAGGGGACTCAACACACTGAAGGGACTGAGCGGACAATACGGGCCAAACGCACTAAAGCAACTGAAAGGACTGAACGACCTAACGCAACTAAAAGGATCAAGAGGACTGAAGAGACTAGAGAGACCGAAGAAAATAAAGGGACTAAAAGGGCTCAAGGGACTAAAAGGACTAAACGATCGAAGGCGACTAAAGGGACCAAGGGGACTGAAGAGAATAAAGGGACCAAGGGGACTGAAAAGACTAAAGGGACCAAGGGGACTCAAGAGACTAAAGGGACCATGTGGACTCAAAAGACTAAAGGGACCAAGGGGACTCAAGAGACTAAAGGGACCATGTGGACTCAAAAGACTAAAGGGACCAAGGGAACTGAAGAGAGAAAAGGGATCAAGAGGACTGAAGAGACTAAAGGGACTAAAGGGACTGAAGAGTCTAAAGGGACTGAACGAACTAAAGGTACTGAACGGACTAAAGGGACTAAAGGGACTGGAGGGTCTTAAGGGAGTAAAGGGCTGAAGGGACTAAAGGGTCTTAAGGGACTAAAGGGACTTAAGGGACGAAAGGGATTAAAGGGACGAAAGACACTCAAGGCACTAAAAGGACTAAAGGGTCTAAACGGAGTAGATAATATATAGAAAAGTAAAACAGGATAAGTTTAATATCTCGTGGACCGGTCGTTTGGCAAGATCGATCGTATAAATCAGTGTAATATCGCCTGTGACGCTTGTATATGTTACCTATCCTATACAACGATAGGAAGAAAAATAAAAATAAAACCTTGATTATATGCATATTTCTCCAACCATCGATTAACTTTATCTCGCTTCGTTATTGAAGCTGTCTAATCGATAAGTAAAAGAACAAGCAAAAGAATAACTACATTTGTGCGGTAAAAAACTAGTACGTCTCAATAATATATGATCATACTTTATCCGACGGCTACAGCTGATTGCACGCAAGCCAAATATTTTTTTTGATATGTATATAAGTAATGTAATGCTTTCTTTTTCTTTATTAAAAACCATCAATACATTACCAACGTGTTGCACTCATTGTTATAATATACACCTCGTTAATACAAGAAGCTGACGTAAGTCTTTGGATATTGGAGTATGCCTCGTAAATCTTTTTACTCTCTCATTATGCAAAAGATTTTTTTATTTTTCAATGATAACAGTAATTAAGTATAGTTTATGTGAGCTTTATAGTGTGTCTAAACTCATGGAAAGAAGACAGTGAAAGTGAATATTGGCAAGTTTTGCGAATTTTATGAAAATAGTGATAAAGTTAGTGGCTTTTTTCTCGTTAATATTGACCGCTTGTGGCTATCAGGGGATTTAATGAAAAGGATAGCAACTGATATGCTACTGGAATCGGTCCTGATTATTCGATTAGTTATATAGAAACCCTTGGTGATTTGTATCCGTTCTCATATGATTCGGACGGATACCGTAACTGTTTGTTTACATAGGTAGCTATTGGAATGTCTTGAAAAACTGCAAAGACAAGCAGATTAGAAACATCTCGACAATAATCTTCACAACTTTAAACGATCGAAGTGATTCGCTCCTTAAAATCTTACATACTTGTCATAAAAATACCATTGGGATTTCACCAAGAGGTGCTTCCCATGTCAAATCTTTGTATCTCTGCAGATTTCAAAGGCATAATAAAAACCAGCTACGTTCAAGGAAAGACAATAGTGTGTTTTGAAACGATAGTAGAATTGAAAAACAATTGGGTAGATATTCTAACAACTTTTCAATACAACTGATTTTGAGAGCGTATTTCTTCCACTTCTTTCATCTGTTTATATTTGAGCTTTGAGAAAATTTATCCACAGATAGAGCAAGATCTTAAACTGGGATATGCCAATAAATTGTTATTTATTATTATCATTGTTAACAGCCAAATGTTTCATCTTGTGTATGTTTGGAGAATCTCCAGCTCTTCTAATTTTCAGTTATGATAACTCGAAGAAAATAATAAAAAATTGATGTATAAAAATGAAGCCATATGTTTTATGTTCAATGAATAATAAGCAAACTCTTATTATAAGTGTCCTCATGTAAAACTAATCATTCAGGATTCATATTGCAACCATTCTGCAGATTTTGCTCACAAAAGATAAGTCTAAAAGCTGTGTTTTTTTTGAGAATGCTGCACTAATATTTAATGAGACATTTCAATAAAATTCTGATTTTCCGGTTACAGTAGGAAATTGAAGAAATCAGAAATAGTTCATAATGACGCTTTGGTTTAGAAATTGTCATCGAGAATTCTCGTGCTACAGATCTAATAGGTTTTCAAATTAAGTCGAATTTGAGATTATGTTAAGTCTCCATAAAAAAAGGATAACGTTATGGAGAAATGAAATCAAAAACATAACAGTGGCTAGCCGTGAGAAGTACCTCGAAAGGTCTCCGACAAACAAGTAGCTGGTGCACTAAAAAGTTCCTTAAAGACAGGCTTCAGCTGTTTATATTCAATCAAGCAAACATCAACAATCTTGGTCTAATGAGTTTGAAAAAGGAGTTGCTGAGAACTGAGAAATATTTTGAAATAAATTGTGAGAACGCTTTTTCTGCAAGTGCACAATATTTTAATACTACATTTGGCGGAAAACGTCAGCCAGAGTTTTTTTTATTCATGGTATCGAAAGTAGATATAAATGAAATAAACGTAAGTTTTTCTGCTTGTATGTGTTCTTGTCTGTATTCATTCAAATGTCGAAATGTGTACGGATTTATTCAAATTACTTATCTAATCTGACGGTTACTTTGAGTAGGATTTTTTTTCAAGTATGGAAGTACGGTTGAAGATTGATCTAGAATGATTCATTTTAACCTAGGAGTTCAATTGAACCCGTATTTTTCTAGCGCACATCCTAGTAAAAAGATATTGTGGGCTATTGTTTCGATAATCCAATGAATTTCTAGTAGAAATTGCAAGTAGTATGGCCCTGCTTTATAATAGTATCGTGAATACGCTTTGTTTCGTGACCGCTGAGAAAATTGAACATAATCTGTTTTTTCTAGTGCATGTGACGTCGCAGCCATAGTGTAGTTCCTTGAAGCATTAAGTATTAATGTAAAAATATCAATTTGATTAGATGTATTTGTGATAAAAATGTTCATTCTGACCCACATACAATTGTACGCAACGAGATTGACGCTAATATCAGCGCACGCACATATATCCACGCTTTTGACACGTTGGATACTAGTTGTTTTGAAGACTGTGAAACAGCATCAAACATCAAGGAGTCGAAAATATTGTCGAGGGTCTCGCTAGTCACACAGACAAGCGGTACCTATTAGATAATTTTGTCTTTAAAAAGTTTATTGGAATATTTTACAAAAAACAGATCAGAAAAATCTGAAACATATAATTGGATGCGTTCTCATCTCCCTACCTTTCGAACCGCGGAAACCGCACTTCTTTATCTTGTTTTTATCAATAGTTATTTAATAAAGCTTGTCCGCACAGCTTCTCTGAAGCTGAGATGTGGAACTCACGTATATCCTTCCAAGTTGTAATCCTAGTGCATTCATTGTGAACTAAAAAGGACATTTTTTTTTTAAATTTATGAATGCATCAGAATATTTTATGAAAACTAAGTCCTATTTTGCGTGCTTGTTGAGGCCCTGTAATGAAGAGGTGTCTATAATTGGGGTATATCTTTAATGTTTTTTTCACTATTGCTATGTGTATGTAATGGAGCGAAGAAGGGAAAGCTGGAAAGCCTTAATCTTAGTATTCACACTCACTATTTTCTTCGAAAGTATACGTGAATTTCAAAAGATATTGGCTCCTACTTTTCAATGAGTACTAATAGAAGCAGCATATATGATGACGAGACACTTATTGTAAGTCATAGTTTAAAAGTATTCTCTTCCTTGAATGATGGTAGAATTTATTTAGATATTTTTTTTGACGTTTCGGTACAACAAGGTGCCCTTCGTCAGAAATAAAATGATAAAAGTTTACTTAAAGTTATAAAATATATATATGTGTTTCCTTTTCGTTCTTCAGTTTGAATAACATATAATAGTGGCATGGACTAAGATGAAAGCTAAACTTTCCTTACCGGTATTGCCGTCTTGTCCGTGCCACTATTCTATGTTATTCAAACTGAAGAACGAAAAAAAAACATATATGTATTTTTTATAACTTCAAATAAACTTTTATCATTTTATTTCTGACGAAGGACACCTTGTTGTACCGAAACGTCAAAAAGAAAATATCTAAATAAATTGTACAGCTACCTTCAAATGACTTTAGAATTTCGAATAATCGTTCAGCCAAAAAAACTTCATCACTGGTTGTTGCAGAATTTTTAGATCCACGTTCCGTTTGAGCCAAATGAAGAAGATGTTTAGCAACGTTCAATAAGCTCATACTTTGCTTTGATGAAATAAATCTTTTTATTTGGTAGATGCAGAAGAAAACACAAGTGAATAATTCTTCAATGGTATATTTATTTGTGATTTGTTAACACCAATAGCAAAGAAGTGATCAATAGACCATCAAGTGAGACATCAATGCACTTCAAGTTCAAATATTGCACGCATAAGTCATTTCTTTAGATATATCTTTCTTTTTCCTTTCTGTACTATTTAACTTATAGTAGATATCCAAACTAATGCGATATGAATGTTATTAATAAAATTTAGAAAGATTCTTGTAGCCTACTATTCAATTATTCACTTGATCGAATAAAAAAATGAATATAAATAGTCCTATTGTTCCTATGCGCCCATACTGTGACTAAAGTAAAAATCGAATATCTCCCTCTAACTAAGCCAACAGCAGCTAATATGTGAACCTCGTTAATATGACGATGAGAGCTTTCATTTGACATAAAAAGGTTCAATGATTTTGCTTATCAACACAAATACCTCCATTGTAAGTAAAAACTACTTTAAATATTATTTTGTTTGTTTGTTTAGATAAAGGGATATTCGATATCATCATATCAACAACAGCTGATTCAAAACATAATTTCAGTCTCGCATATCATTAATATTAATATGAAGAGGTAAGTAAAACTTCAACTAATGCTTTTTTTATTTCTTTAGATATTACATGATTGAACCTTTTCTAAGTAAGTAAAGATTAGTTTGAATATTATTTTATTTGTTTGTTTAGATAAAGTAATATTCGATATCATCATATCAACAACAACTGATTCAAGACAAAATTCCTGTCTTCACATATCATTAACATTAATATGAAGAGGTAAGTAAAACTTCACCTAATATTTTTTTTATTTGCTTAGATAAAATGACATTCAATATCATCACATCAACAACAGCTGATTCAAAACAAAATTTCAGTCTCGCATATCATTAACATTAATATAAAGAGGTAAGTAAAAATTCACCTAAATTTTTTTTTATTTCTTTAGATAAAATGGCATTCAATATCATGATATCAACAGCATCTGATTCAAAACAATGCTTCCGTCTTCACATACAACTTTTCTGTTCTAGGTCGTCGAAGCCACTTTGAATAGATTCCTCATTTTGAAGAATATGTAAAATTTCTAAGTCTTGGCGCAGACACAAAGCCAGTCATTTGCTCGTTTACAAGCGGAAACTGGTACACGCTGACGCAGGAGGCCTCATAAGCTCTCTGGATTGTCAGCCATTTTGGTTCATTATCTCGAAACGAGATATGTTCAGATTTCCGAAAAAGGAACTTTCCGAAAATACCAAAACATATCTGATACCATCTCCAGACGCTTATGTGCATCAAGAGAAATTTCTATGAAACTTCTGTAATTACCATTCTATGAGAGCGAAATTACCACGAAGTTTTCAAATTCTCACACACAACTCAACGCAATTTCTTGGAAATTTCGGAAATAAAAACCACCACAGGAAAGAATTTTTTCAAAAACTTGACATTGATTTCACAAGCCCCACCCCGACAAGTAGGAAAATTTATGGTAATTTCCGTAATTACTAGAATGTCCTAGTAATTACGGCAATTTCTATAATTTCTTTATATATAACATATAGATAGATTAAGGTGCATACCGATTTAAGAAGCCCTACCCCAAGAAATAGAAGAATTTATAGTAATTTCTGTAATTACCAGGAATTTTTAGTAATTTCGGAAATTTCTATAATTTTTTTATATATATCATATACATATGGTAGGATGCATAAAGATTAAGGAAGCCCTACCCCAAGAAGTAGAAGAATTTATGGTAATTTCTGAAATTACCAGGAATTTTTAGTAATTTCGGAAATTTCTGTAATTTGTTCATATATTTCATATAGATATGGTAGGATGGAAATAGATTAAGGAAGCCCTACCCCAAAAGTAGAAGAATTTATGGTAATTTCTGTAATTACCAGGAATTTTCAGTAATTACGGAAATTACCATAAATTCTTCTACTTTTTGGGGTAGGGCTTCTTAAATCTGTATGCATCTTACTCTACCTATATGATATATATAAAGAAATTATAGAAATTTCGGAAATTACTGAAAGTTCCTGGTAATTACAGAAATTACCATAAATTCTTCTATTTCTTGGGGTAGGGCTTTTGAAATCTATATCTGTCTCATCGTATCTATATGTTATAAATTAAGAAATTATAGAAATTTCCGTAATTACTGGAGCTTCCAGGTAATTACCGAAATTACCAAAAGTTCTCCTGCTTTTGGTGGGTAGGATTCCTGAAATCTATATTTATTTTATCAAATCTATATGATGTAAATAAAGAAATTATAGAAGTTTTTGTAATTACTAAAATTTCCAGGTAATTGCTGGAATCGGCAAAAATTCTTCTTTTTTTTGGTGATAGGCCTGCTTCAATCTCTATGTATCTTATGATATCGTATAGATATAATTTGGGAATTATAGAAATTACCTGGTAATTTCGTCAGCATGTGCTTTTTTTTGCGCATTTACTGATAAATATTCTTTTGTGGATTTGGCATTTACGGAAATTGTTTTGCTAATTTCCTTCTCTAATATGAGTAGTTACGGAAGTTTCCGGAAAATGTTTTTTAGTTTTGAAGGTAATTTCCGAAATTTCCAGGAAATTTCTTTATTTGTGTTTATGTTTGTTTTCCAATAGGATTGAAGTAGTTATAGTAGTTTCCGTATTTTCTGAAAATTGCGTTTCGTATGGTTGCAGTTTCAGAAATATGAATATTTAGCAGAGAAATTTCCTTTTTCGGAAATCTGCCCATTGCTGGTAAAAAGGGTTTATTATTAGTTACACTTTCATCAACCCTTTTTTGGTTTATTATTCTACGAATTTTTTTTACAGCGTACTTGTGAGAGCACAATATCTTTTTAAAACTGCCGAATTCAGTTAATATAATCGCAATTCTAATTTACGAGCGACTGTAATCTAATAATTAGTTTCATGGATTGTGGTTGATTCGGAACTGACTTCGAAACAGTAATGAATTATTTCTAAATCAGTTCTTAAGCGAATAAGACCAAACTTAATCAATTTTAATCGGTTAAAAGCAGTAAGAGTATAAGTTTTTGATTATAATCGATTACGAATGATTTTATATAATTTTGAATCTGTTATTAATCGATTTTTAATCAAAAATTAATCGATTAGAATCTGATTTTTCCTATATTTTCTACATGGGACAGAAGCAACAATGACAAGTCTTGTACGCTGCTCTTTGAGGACCTTTGCAGCGCACATTGCAAGTATGTGATTCACCTGAATCGTTAAGATAGGCAGCCATTATTATGGAAAATACCTCTTGAATTTTAGCTGAATCAATCAGCATACGACACTCCTGTTATCCTTACACACTACATGTCTTCTCCATAAGCAATGTGTAAAAAAGAACATAATGATGCATGTCGTACCATGATTTGACTTTTTTTTAAAACGGTGAAAATTAGAACATTTTTTCGATGGAAAATTCTACCTATATATTATCGAATTTTTGATATAATTCGTTTTAGAAAACTGCCTGGATCGTTGTACAGCAATATTAATGCAATAAATTTCATTCAACATTAGCATTACTAACTGAAAAATTAAATTCTACTTACGACTTGCTGCAACTATTAATTGAAACTTTAAAAAGAATGTACTAGATGTAATAACATTTACATAATGGAATCCATAATACATAACGTTCGTCGGTCAAAATTTTTCAAATTTACTCTCGTAATATCCATTTCATTGGTTTTTGTTATATTAGTATACAGAACAGATCGCTCAAATCGTTTATCAATTCCTGTTTTCGTATCGGAATTTGATGAAGCAGTTAAAATAATATCTGGTCTTCGTCTTAAGTCGACTTCTCTATACGGTCTAAAGTATCGAGCAATGATTTGTACAATCGTTCGAAATGATCCACATCTTTTAGAATTTCTTCTACGACATTTGATAACTGGCTTTTCTCATATTGTCATCTATGACAATAACAGGATTTTGTCTGGTTATGATATGAATATCAGTAATCTTCTTGCACCATTTATTGCTGCTGATGTAGTGACTCATATTCCGTGGTATCAGAATACTACTAATTTACTTCCGAATGATATTAAAAATCAAAATAGTGTCGAATGTTTAAATAATTATGCGAAAGATGCTGATTGGGTGGCTATTCTTGATACAGATGAATATTTTTACTATGAAAAGAAAAATACTGCTGTGAATACTCTCAATGATCTACTGTTGGAACTAGAAAAAAATCATAGATGTGGAGTTCACGTTCCATGGACCATGACGTATGGTGAGGCAAAAGTACTCAGACAGAATAAAACATTGTTTGAAGCCTATCCTCGTATGTGTGGAATTTATGGATTAAATAAAGTTTTAGCAAGAGCAGCATTAGCAAATTTTAATATTCCACATGGTACATCATGCAAATTAAATAATTATTCTACAGCATCACTAGGTTCGAATAACATCTCAAAAACTTCATTAGTTCATTACTATAGTAAATCAATGGAAGAACATCTCGTCAAAGTCGATCAAAGTATTCCACCATACATTAGAGTACCCATAAGCTCTTATCGTCTAAAACATATTTGTACACGTGATAAGGTTAAATACGCAGAAGATTATGAAAATGCTTTTCTTCGATCTTACAAACGGCTTGAAGCAATGCATTCATTGCAAATCGTTAATTTACGACCTTCACCTAGTCTTAACATAAAACAAATGACCGACTACGCTCTTTACATTCATCTTAAATATCGATGTGCTAAACGGCATGAGTTCGATAATGATAAATATTTGTCTATTAATCCAAGTGTCAAAGAACAGGTCAAAAATGGTTCTCTTCCCGATGGTTTCTATCATTTCATGGCTAATTTTTTGAAGGGAGCTGTGGGGTGTTGGCGAACACATAACGATTCATTCTGTGAATAGGTCATCGTAATTAATAATAGCAAACTATAAATATAGACTACTGTATTGCATGTTGTCTAATGAATGAATAATTCGAGACATCGATTATACTACTAATTTATTCAACATTACTACCCATGGAATAAAAAAATTTTAAAAAATGATGTAAATTAGATCATTTTAATCGAAATTTCACTAAAGCCCCCGACACATTAGAAGACCCGAGTTCTTCTATTCTGTCTTATCGCTCATAAGTTACAAGGGGGGTCTTCTATTATGTCCCCTAAAAAGTTATATTTTTTAGCAGTCTTTCCAACAAATCTTTGTTTCAATTCATTTTTATTCAGTATAATCGTTAGAAAAAGATTGCTTTACTTATTCGACACGTGTATAATGAGAAAGCAACAAATGCTATCCAGTGAAAAAAAGAGAGTCTATCATTGGTAATACATATTCTTTTACTATTGAAGGCAACGTATCCCAACAGCTTGATAAATTGTCCATTAGCTTTATTTTTTCTCAAACATAAGATCTGTCATTGGCCAAATTTTAATTTCTCAACAACTAAATAACGCAGAAAAAGAATTAACTTGTTTTGTCAAACTCAATTAAATTAATTACTCTTGTTCATTTTTGACTAGTATTGCTGGAATCTGTGTACATGAAAATCTGCTAATAGCATATTTATTAGTCTCAAGCCAACTGCAATGAATAAGTTTGTATTAAGAATAAGCAGTTAATGAAAAAAGAATAGTTGGATATACATTTTCTGTTTCTTCTTGGTCTTTTTTTAAAAATGGCTTTAAGTTTTATTGAGAATAGAAGTGCGTTCTGAGTCTCATGAGAAGTACTTACAAAAAACCGATGCGTATTAGAGACGAAAATCAAATCGAATTCTCAAATAATCTTATTCGATTGAATTCGTCTGGGGGGAACTGTATCCGAAGGAAGGTATTGTAAAATCAAGATTTTCTTATTTGTTTCTGTCTCGAGCGCATATACATGAATTCAAGTGTTTTTCAATTATGAAAGAAAGATTTGTGATGAATACGTATCAGAATTTCTAGAAATCGTAGATAATTCGGTCTTTTAATTATTACGCAACGAAGTTTCATCTATTATGCTACTATTTTACAAAGATTTCTTCATGCGTTACACCCACGGTTCTGCACCGAGTCCATTATAACTCAACAGCATGATAATTGTTTTTGTATAGAGAACCGTAAGAATTCTCTCAGAATATGCTGTAAAAGAGCACTAAAAAGATTCCATGATATGAGTTCTATACAGAAATGCATTCTTTACTAAACAGTTGTTTCCAATTCATTGTTTCGTAAGACTCTTTTCACTTCGACCTGGCGTATCATATTCATAAAGGAAGCAAAATATTGTTCATACTGACCTACGATACAATTATGGACTTAAACAGTAAAAAAGTTAATAAACTCTAGAAATTATTTGTAAAAAAATCGATTTATCAAGGGGGTCTTCTAATATGTCTTTTGCTTCATTTATCCAAGGGGGTCTTCTAATGTGTCGGGAGCTTTAGGAAAAAATGATGACGCACATCATTTTAATGTAATTTTTCGGAATTTCGGAATTTTGCCAATACGACTTTTACCAATTATTAGCGATTTTCCACGGTATATATTGACGAAAGTCTACTGAATTTTCGCCAATTGGCGGATATCCAGAGATGTATTGACGAAAGTCCACTCAGCTTTCGTCAATTGGCGAATATCTAGAGAACGAATTGACGAGAGTCAAATAGATTTTCATCAATGGGAATGAAATATTCATATCGTAAACGAAGTATAAGTATGCTTAACATCATTAAGATGTGCTTCAAGTGATGCAGTTATGAATACAGTAGGCATCACTATCTTTAATCAACACTAACATTACATTTAAAATCGAAATAGTTCACTGGAAATTCGCCAATTGGCGAAAGTTCACTGTCCGTTCGCCAATGGCGAAAGTTCATTTTGCGAAATTCCTTTTGGCGAACTTCCGGTAACCCAATTTTTCATGATGAAATGGACATTTTCATCAATGAATTTTGAATTAATTGATTAAATTCAAACCAAATTCATTTGATGAAAACGATTAAAAATTCACCCATCAGACCCATCTACAGCTTCAGGAGACAGGTATCACACTGGAGCATCACTCGGAGCTCCGGTGCTATGTCCTTCGAGGAGCTTTGCGGCGAACACGTATAAGTTCGCAATTGCCTAAGTCATGAAGACAGACATTGAGTAACATGATGAATAGATCATGAATAGAATGCTAAAATAAACAGGGCACGACATACCTTTTGCCTTTACACATAACATAGTTTCTCCTTAAGTGATGTGCAAGGACAACAATTATGACTAAACCAAATTCATCATTTAAATGATGCGTTTTACATCAAATTAATGTAATAAAAATGATTTTTTAAAGAAAGCATTTTAATCAAATGAAAATGATGTTAGAGTCGTCTCAGGCATTTTATGACTTTTACTTTTCCAAGATAGTGAAAGTCATCTGATGAAAATGGTGTAAAATTGACTATACTCATGTCCTGATTTTGATTTTCCAAAAATAATCAAATTCATCTGATGAATTTGATTTCTCCGGAATAACGATATTCATCAGATGAAAATGATATAAAATTAGTCAAAGTCATGTCATCATTTTGATTTTTTTTATTTCATGGGTGATTTTTCAAAAATAATGAAATTCATTTGATGAAAATGATGTAAAATTAATCAAAGTCATCTGATGAAAATAGTGTAAAACTAATCAATGTCATGGCATGATTTTGATTTTTCAAAAATAATCAAATTCATCAAATTTTTTTAATGAAATGTTCGAAAAATATGATTTAAATCAAATTCCTTTGATTTTTTTATTTCATGGGTATACAGTTTGCTAAAACCATGATTTGATCACAGATCATTATTATGCATTCTTAATCCAAGCTTTGATTTCAAAATAATATCAGTTAACCTTACCCATGGTGCAAAATATCGAAGGAAACGCACTGCCTAACGCGTTTTCTAAGGTTTTCTCTGCAGAAAATACGTTTCGTAGCATTCTTACTTAGGTAGAATGCGTTTCGCTACTGTCATTTTGCGAAATGGTCTGAAACGCTTCCATTCTAGATTGCATTTAGCAGCGTTTCCAAAGTGAAACACCATAGAACGCATTTAAATCTATTGGAGCGCATTCTAAAAACACCAATCGGGAAAATGTGAAACGCATTGCTTTTTAAACGTGTTCTACATACTTTTTAGTTGGAATGATGTCAGTTGTATTCGTCACTCTACAGAATCGTATAGGAATTAATATATAGAAAGTAGGTAAGTAAAGTTAAGTTAATT